GTTGGTAATAAGGCTTATTATTCCAAAAATACAGCCTGCTACAAACATGTGCTGTATTAAGCTTGGCCAACACTGATAAAACATGTAATTTAAGGATGTAAATCTAGTATGCTAATTGTTACATATAACCATTTAATAGCATTTAATATTCAGGATTGGAAGTAAGCATTTTGAATCAAAAGTTTCTTTAAATATACATTGCTTTATGTTTGAACCAGACCTCAATATAATACATCTTAGTAACATATTAAAATGCTTATCCCAATTATACTTTATAATATTACTCCTCAATATTATTTCTTAACTGAGTTCCATCCAGATGTGCTAGAACAGGGATCTCCAACCCCCGGTCTGTGGACCAGTACCAGTCCACAGCATGCCAACAAGCGGACCGCACAAATAAGCAAAGCTCCATCCTTGGGTTGCAGGCAGCATTCAAAACCACACCTCTTCTTGTCTGCAGAAAAACCTTTCTCCATGGCACTGGTCCCTGGTGCCCAAAAGGTTGGGGACCTCTGTGCTAGAATACAATTTCTGTCTTCCCCACCCAGTCTGGCTATTCATCATGATAGCTAGGAGAGAATGAATGATGCAAGCCACTCTACTTGGAAGGCAGGAGGTTTGGAAAAGCCGCTTTATATGCTACTGATATTCATTAGTACAGTCTGAATTATCTTGGAGTAATATTTCTTTCCATGGAGTTAATTAATGACCTTTAATACCATTTCATAATCTTCTCCTAAAATAGTTCCTTCAGTGTTAGATAAGTTATTAACAAAATTGAAATAACATGACATAGCACCACCAATCTTTCTGTGTAACGGAGGTGCCCGTGAAAAGATTTGAAATTTTTCCATTGAGATTTTAGAAGCTATCACCAAGACTCAAGCCCCTGCCTTAGTACCTGAATAGAATACAAGTAGTCTTCATTTAATGGCACCAGTTGGGACTGGAATTTCCATCGTTAAGCAAAATGGTCATTAAGCAAAACATCACATGACTGCACCACTTAGCAACAGCAGTTTTGGTAGTCCTGGTTGTGATCATTAGGCAAGGACCTCATGCTTCTGCCTTACTGTGCTTGCCTCCACTTCAACTCCCCCTAACTGTTTCCCTGCCCATGTCTTCCCTTTTGGCCACCCTAATTCCACTGCCTTCCCCCCCCCCCCAGTTGATCTTCCTTTCACTGCTGATGAGGAACACCTAGTTGAGGCATCTGCTGGCACTTTGTGAGGCATTCAAGCACTGCATGGAGCCTTCGGGAAGCGTTACCAAAGACTTACGAAGGCCAGCAGCTGTCTTAGCCAGGTATGCCTTGCCAACAATGGGAGGAGAAGACAGTGATGGTCAGCAGAAGGCAGCAGCAGTGGAGTGCAGGATGGCTAAAAGGGCAGAGATAGGGGAAAATAGGTGGGATGGGGATTTGAAGTATAGATTGCAGTTGCAAAGTGCCTGGATTTTGATCATGTGACAGGAGGGCCACTGCAAGTCTATAACTTTGATTCTTTCAATACCATCGTAACTTCAAATGGTTACTGAACGAATGGTCATTAAGCAAGGACTACCTGTATGCTATTCTCTGTCAGTGTAGTAGTTTTAGAGTCTTCTGGGCTTTATTGGGGATTTCTGCTCCTGTGCCTGAGGTAAATTTCCATTATCTGACAGTGTTATGATCTAGACAGGCACTGAAAAATACAGAATATAATCCAGTAAGAAGTTCATTTCTTCATCATCACCACACCACCATCATCTTTGTTGCTGTTCATATACTAAAAACTGGGACATAAAGTTGCATGTCATATATACTTAATGTGATTTAATTTAATTGTTTCTATTGAATATTTTAAAGGCTTGCAACTTTACTTTGCCATTTTGATTATCCATGTCTTTTAAAAAACTATCTTCCCTTTTCTAATGCAATGACAATTTTTATTCAAAACAACATGAAGCCAGATTTAGCACTGGTTCTTCTGGAAATTTGATTATTTCAGTTTGGTTAGAGTAAGCAGGAATAAGATTTTCACTCCTTATATAAGAGTGGCTGCCAAATTTATTTCTCAGAAAAATGTCCTTTTGAAGGGGGTATCAATATTCAAACTGGGATGCAAATATACTTTTACTTATATTTGGACTGTCAAATGATTATTTTGTACTGTATCAAATCAGGATGTAATCTAGTCAAGATTATTGTTTTTTTTTAATAAAAAAAAATAACGTAACTGCATATTCATGATAGACTCCTTTCTCATTGTTCCAAAAATTACTAATTTCTCGTGCCACGAAACTAGTCAAGTAATATCCATGGGATGTCATCCTAGGAAGTTATGACTAGGTTCTTAATACAGTGATAATACTGACTTGCAATGTCTGTGAGCAAAATCTATAGTCTCAGATGCTCACGTATTTTTAGTGGAACAACATTGCAGTTTGTATACGTACGTGTATGATGAATATGTATGTGTATACATTTTCCCCCACAAATAGTAGAGATCCAGTTATACTTAACTTTTTCAAAAATGTTAGTGATAATTTTGCAAGATTTAACTGAGGTGAAATTCCATTTCAGTTGAGTTCGGAACCAAAGGACTGAAAAATCTAAGTTAGCCTATGATTGATTGCATCTTTGAAATATCCTGTTCAGTTTGTTCACTAAAGAATTGCAATATATTTTCATAATGTACCAAATACTTACTGGGCCTTAAGATATTATGTTGAATGAACAAAATGACATAGCAAAACATTTGGATTCTCATATTCATTATCATCATTTCACCAAATCCTCCTGCTTGGAGCAAAGCTGATGTTTGAAACAAGCATCTGTGCTGCTTCAGCAACTACATGCATTAAAAAAGGAGATAGTAATACATATAGTTTTTCTTTCCCTGTGAACTTCATCAATTCCTTTTCAAAGCAGATTTTCATTAAAGATATTTAATTTTCGCATGTAATATATATTTTATTTTTTTTAGAAAATGTGCTTGTTGTCAACTGTCTGATCTTAGTAAAATTTGAAAAATATCAAACTCTTAAGTGGCATTACCACAATGCTCAAATAAGTTTAATTTTGCTTTCTTCATGTTAGTAGCAGCAATTGTTCACAACGTTGATCTGATTTTGTTCCCCTTAGTGGAAACTTAACAAATACAATAAAGTTAAATGAAATTTTTGTCTGCAAAGGCTTAAAATCGGTTCATAAATAATATTTCCCAATGATATTTTTCTGTTTCTAGGATTTTATATCGATTGTTATTGTCATTTTCTCCAACTGATATTGAAAGACATTTCTGTGCATTAGAGTTGAAATCATAACACTGCTTAAACAAATGTGATTTTTAATTAGAGTACCCTTAAATAGCTACATGCAATTTCTTAACATAAAAAGTGTATTTGTTGGTAGCCACAAAATGATAATTTGTACATCCATCCTCTAACACGGGTCCCAACCCCTGGGTCTTGGCCCACTTCCGGGTCGTGGCCTGTTTGCAACCGGGCCGCAAGAACAGCAGACTAGTGCACACATGTGCACGTAGCTTGACTCATGCAAGTGGTGGGCTGACACGCACACACATGCATACACAGCTCAACTAGTCAAACTGCATGTGCTTGCGTGTTTGCACTAGCCCACCCCTCATGCGAGTAGAAATGTGCCTACGCATGCATGCCAACCCGCTGCTCATGTGGCCCGGTTTCCCTCTACCCCTCCAGCCAGGCCGTCAAGCTGCAAAGATTGGGGTACCATACTATGAGTGAAATCCAGCTTAATGGGGCTACAAATGAAAGGGATCTTAAAATAAATAAATCAAAAGATACATGGAATAATCTAATTCCTTATTAGATTCACAATATTAGTTGGACACCATTGAACAGATCTTTTGAGGTGCATGGGAAGCATATTTCCCTTTACACCAGTTATATGCAACTAATTGCCTTCATTGGGATGGCTATTTTAAAGTCTCCCACGATTAAGCCTTTGGGAGTTCATTGACGAGGATGGAAAAATGACAGCTGTGTACACTTTAGGCAACACTGGTCCAGATAATTCTATTAAAAATAATAATAGGTAAATCAATCCATTTATTCTAATACTGCATTACTTCTCCAATATAATAGTGTTTTTCAATATTGGCAACTTTAGGATGCGTAGATGGTGCTAGGGGATTCTGGGAGTTGAAATCAACACATTGTAATGTTGCCATGGTTGGGAAATACTTTCATATAGTATACATAAAATCATAATTTAATCTTTAGATTTAAAGAAATAAAATAGTGATTACTTTAAAAACCCAAATTATTAAATCTCAAAGAAGTCTTGATGGGCTAAATAAATTAATATTATTTATTTTAAAATTATAACATTTAATTATATATTAAGAGATTGGAAGGGGGAAATCTTAAAATTATTTGATGGTCTATGAAGATTTATTCATCTTCCAAATACAATGGGAATAGTGCATAGAATATTTGTTTTTGTTTTTTAAAAAAATTGTCACCTTTAATTTTTTGTTGATCAGTTGTACAAATTGCTGGAGCTTTACTTTCGATTCTTGGTTCTGTTTTCACTAAACTTTAACCAGCAAGTACACAAATATACAACAATCACAATAATTGGAACTATTCAGATTAAGACTTGAATGAGCCAGTTCATAAAAATACTATTACAAGACCTAGAAGTAAGTTAAGAAATTAACAATATATTACTGCAAGTTTCTTACGAAGTTGAAGAACTTTGCCATAGTGCTTACACTTCCTCCTTTGAAAAATTGGGAATATGTAAAAGTAGTTATATTTAACCATTATTGTAAAAGAATTTAAATAACAGTCTCCCTCCTGTCCCTCTTTTCTAACCATATACACAGAATTTGTTTGACTTTCTATTATAGCCTCACAGTAATTCTTAAAACTTGGACCCAATAAGAATTAAAGCAGCCAATGGCCTTATTAATATTCCAAGGGGCTGTGAACTTATGTAATGATGGCTTTCATTCTTGTCTTTTGTGCAGACCGGTTTGGGCTTGGCCAGCCAGGCAGGTTGCCTGCCTCTATGAATGCAATGCGAGTTCTGAGTACAAGCACAGATCTGGAGACTGCTGTGGCAGATGCATTGGTAAGAGGGAAAGCACAACATGTTACCGACTCCAGAAAGTTACTTGAAGTTGCTTTCTGTACGTACATTTTCCTCTCTTAATTTTATATGTGTTCTATTAAATGAGCCTGTATGTGTACATGTGAGTCTGCCTAAATCTTTCTTTAGGATTTGGGAAGATGTGAGGAAAGGGAGTTTTAATGCATAATTGCATTGTGAAGAGTTAAATTGTTGGTATTAGTGCAGTGAAATGTAGAAGATGAGTTTCACGGTCTGATCCTGATTTTTTTATTTGTGGAAATAAATCTTACTGTTTGTATACATTATCTTTCAAGTAAATGCATTATAATAGTGAAACCATCTGTGTCAAATGCTCATGAATGCCACTATGAAGAGAATTGACCAGTCTCCTAATATAAGTTGTGAATAATACTTATACTGGGTGTGTCAGTATGTGCAATATGTTTGCTTCGTGTTCCACAATTGTGTTTTATTCTTATTCATTTGCCAATTTTGAAGAGTTAAAATTTATAGTTGAAATATCTATTGAGAATAAATTGCTTTGTCCTACCCTAGGGAAAGTTTGTATGGGTTATCTTGACAAAGGCTCCTGTCGTTAATTCTAGAGGTTTCTGATCAGGTCACTTGTTAATTACCATTAACAATAATTAATAATAATTAGATTATGGGTTGATTGAACTGCACCTGTTGGTTGGTCTTTGGATGATTTGCAATAATAAAACACATTTGTGATTCTTATTTATGTAGCAGTAAAAGGAATACAATTCCAGCCATCCCTTTTCAATTCTGAAATTCTATTAAATATAACAAAGGTTAAAGAAACAAAGGCTTATGTACTATGTACTTTAATATTTTCAAATTCTCTTGTACTCTTGAAATTAAGAGTCTACTTAAAAGCAAAAATATATAAATAATTTTATAAACAAATATAACAGATTGTATTACTGCATCTCTGATTGCAGATGATTCTATGGACTAGGTTTTAAGTTCATTTTTATTGAACATTACTTTTGACATTTTGCTGTTACTCCCAAATATTGGAGATCCAGAGTGGCAGACAATATATGGAAGGCTCTTAGCATTATGAACTATGAGTTACAAGATAATGTAAAAATAGCATCTATTGTCTCTAAATATGTTATTGTATAACACAGTGCAGTGAAAACCTGCATTCTCATCCACTGAATGATCAATAAATACTATATGAAACTGGACTTTTGCAGATTATTAGGAAGCACATGCTACATGCATATTTTTGACATTATTTTATAGCAAGAAAAAAAAACACAATTTGAACATTTTCTTTTGCTTTTCTGCTGAATCCAAAATTGCATTATTTTTCTTCCATTAGCACAGTGGTTCTCAACCTGTGGGTCGGGACCCCATTTGGGGTCGATCGACCATTTCACGGGGGTCGCCAAGCAAGGCTGTCTGCCATTTTTTTTGTCTGCCATTTTTTTTGTCCGCCATTTTTTCCCCTTTTCCGGTGGGTGCCTTACCTCCCTTGGGCTGGGCCAGCTGGTGGTTGGCCTGCTCCGTCTCTGCCGCTTGCCAGCTACACCTCGGCCGGCGCAGGAGGGGGAACCACGCATGCGCGGCACTCCTGGGCAGGGAAAGTCCTCGACGTACGACCGGTTGGGTAGTCCTCGACTTACGACCGGTTTAGTCCTCGACTTACGACTGGTTTAATCCTCGACTTACGACCGGTTGGGGTCGCGGCATTAAAAAGGTTGAGAACCACTGCATTAGCACTATTCATAAAGACCAAATGTGTAATGGATTTGCAAACTAAGAACTAAAAAATAATGGAATATTAAAATTGGAGCCACTTGGCTGATGAATGTTTAGTTTCTGATTTATAAAATGAGGTTTATTGGATAAAATGATTTTAATTATAGGTTGATAACCAGGATTTTATTAAATACAGGTAATCCCCGAGTTACGAGCGTTCCCTTAGCAAACATTTGAAGTCATACAATAAAGCGCCCCCAGTGCTTATGAGCAAGTCCTGAAATTACGAATGTTGCCGCACCATGGCAGTCGTTCACCTTTACGAGTGAACACAGTGGTACTGCAACATTCACCCTGGTTATTCCCTCCCCACCCCTGCCACGGGTCTCCCTAGGCACTAGGCCTTCAGTACTCACCCTGTGAAGATCGAGATCCTTCGCTTTCTTGGCTGCTCCAGGCCTTCGATGCAATTGCAGAGAATGGAGGCCTAAAGTAACGCAAGTTCACGCGAGATCAGTGGGGCGAGATCTCACGCTACTGATCTTGCGTGATCTCATGGTACTTTAGGCCTCTGTTCTCGGCAACGAGAATGGAACTGAAGCTGGGGGATCCTTCTGTATGCCTCTGGAGGCTGGATCCGGGTGCCGGAGGCCTTTTCCAGGCTGCTGCCGCCTGGACTTGTGGCTGGGAGACACTTCCGAAGCCCTCCAGAGGCTGGATCCGGCCATTGGAGGCCTTTTCCAGACTGCTGCCACCCGGATCTGAGGCTGCGGAACACTTCCGTGTGCCTCCGTAGGCTGCATCCGGGCGCTGGAGGCCTTTTCCAGGCCGCTACTGCCCGGAAACAGGCCTCTGGAGGGCCATGGAAACATCCCAGAGCTTCAGATCTGGGCGGCAGCAGTCTGGAAAAGGCTTCAGACACCCGAATCCGCCTCCAGAGGCACACGGAAGCATCCCCCAGCCTCAGACCTGGGCAGCACCAGGAACGGGCAGAGAGAAAATGGATCTTTGATACCTCATGTTCAGTTAATGAGCCGTGTGCGTCTTAACGAGCAGGGAGTGAATTGTGTTCGAGGTACGAGATTCACTCCGAGTTTTTGAGTTACGAATGAAATGGACAGGCTCCATTACATTCGTAACTTGAGGACTACCTGTATAAGAAAAGGTTGCCCAGTACTATATGATTAATATAGTTACATAAATTACATGGTGATGAAGATCTCATTCATAGTCATGCGAAACAATATTTCAAACAACTACAGTTCCAGTTCTTTTTCATCAAAACTGCCATAGAATTACATGTGGAATTTTGGAAATGCAAGGGTAGGTTGGGAGCTGATTGTTGATACTCTGATTCAAGTGACTTGAGCTTGGATAAGTTGGATATAGGGTCTGGAAGAAATGAAGGCCTGCTGTCCTCAATTTTGGTAAATGTAGCTTTCATCTGGCTTATCTTTGGCCATAAATCTCAAAGAAAAAAAATCCTTTACCTGAGATACTTCCCAGCGCTGTGATTTTAGAAGGAAGGTTATAATTCTAGCTCCTGTGAGTAGAAGAAGCTCTGACTCTTTTCTACCTACTGATAACCATGTATGAACTCATCCATCGGTCCAATATCTTTTTCTTTTGCTTCTTGAAGATATAACTTAAATAACAACAACAAATTTTGATATAATTTTAAATGATACCAAATACCTTAGGATAGAGAACTGAACTTTTGGCCCTGAAATGTAGCATTCATACAATTGCACACAACTCCTCCTTTAGCAAAAATTGTGACTATTTTAGGAATTTCACTACAGTATAGTGTATATCTGTTTTCCGTTTCACAATGGTAGAAAGTTTAATTGTCCATTTTCCCAGCAATCCCATGCTAAGAGTTTCCAAAAGGGGATCAAGACTACATGCGTTGCCACTGTGTTCTAGCTTTCGTTGATCAGAACTAATCAGTGGTCCCCAACCTTTTTGGTTTGGCGGCCTGGCGGAGGGGTGAAGAAGAGAACCAGGCCGCACAAGTGACAGGCTGACAGTGTGCACGTGCAACTTGATTTGTGCAAGTGGTGGGCCGGCGCACACATGCACGTGCGTGCAATTTGATTTGCGCAAGTTGAGCTACGTGCGTGTCTGCACACAAGCCAGCTCACCACTCACACAAGTCGAGCTGCGCACGTGTGCACACCGGTCCACCACTTGCGTGGCCCTGTTGCGAATAGGCCACAGCCCTATAGTATTCTGGGGTGGAGGACCCCTTATTTAAATGATACTGTTATTCTAATTTGTAGTATTTGCCTTATTTTTTATCAAATTCTAACTAGTGTGATGAGCACATTTGGTTAATTTCACTTACAAAGAGATAAACTGATTGAGAAATTCACATAAGGATATATTTAATGATGTTTTGTTCCTTTTTTTTTTTTAGAAACCCTCTTTAAAATTTACAAGTTCCTAAAATGTGATGCGTAAAAAAAAAAGTTCATCTCCGTCTTTTCAGAATTTAGCTGCTTTTGCTCTGTGTTGTTGATGATCACCATCAACAGTTCTTTAACTTTCTTCAGCTGTTCCCTTGCCTATTTGTCTTCATCACTTCTTATATAAATATTCTAATAGCCTTAAAGGACTATTTCTCTCTTCTCTCCTTTGTTCTTCTTTTTTGGATTCAAGATACTTTGCTTCACAGTAAAAGCTGTATTTCCATTAAAAAAAAAGACTCAAAACAAGTCCCTTCAGGTCAAATTCTCAGTCCTGGCCAAGGCTGATTGTTGTACTTGTAAAAGGAGATCAACTGAGCCTGGTCCAAGGGGGAGTTCTTTTATTCCTAGATCACTGCAGAGAAAGACCTGTTGACAGGGAAACCAGATAAACTTTGAGATAAAGGGAATTTATTCAGTAGTAGAGAGAGTAAGCTAGAAGAACTGAACTCTTCACCCTCACAGCATATTTGATCATCTTTAGTGACAAAAGAGCTCTTGAAGTTTAATTCCAGGAGATGAGGGAATATTTCCAGACTTGGGAATTGGTATCTATTACAGTAAACTGTCCTCAAATGGCACCTAGTACATAAATAATAACCATGTTAGATCTCTTTTTTCCCCTGAGAGTACCATATAGACATAAGCATGACATGAAACAGATACAACCTACAGCTGAGAAAGGAAGCCATCAATTTAGACATTGCAATTGCTGAAAACTAACAGGACAGTTTCTCAATGATTTGAGGCCAGAAACATATGCAGCTGTGGTGCAAGCCCTAAAATAGGCTTCATACAAAACAACAAAATTTGTGGGAGACGGAATCCTAGCTTTACCCGTATACAATATATAAATCCATCCTAACCTATCCACTGTGGACTTTACTCTCAGGAATACTAAGTTCTCCCCAAGCCCTCTCCCCCCAATATAGCCCGTTTCTGGCATAACATATTAATGTTGCCTTTAGAAAGCCAGATTTCTAAATGCATATTACTTGTGTGCATGTATTTTTTGAAGTCCTTGGCTGTAGGAAGATGAGAACAGTAGAATGCACAATTTGATGCCTCTGTCTGAACTCATTTTATATTTCTTTAAAAAAAAACTGGCTGAATTTGTATTTTTAATTTGCTAAGACTCATTTGCTTGTGTTTTTGTTGCAAGAAAAATGCCTGCAGAAGCTTCTGACATAATTCTCTATGCTTTTTCCCACCCTTCAATATTTTCCTGCATACAGCTCTTAGGAGACTCCAGAAGCAAGGTACTAGTGCCATCCTGACATTTTTTTTTCTCCCTGCCTCTTTCTTTCTTTCTTTAATTCCCTCCCTTCCTCCCATTTTTTTTGCTTCCCCTGTTACAATATGATATAGGGCTGTAATTATTTTGATACCTTAATGTCCAAGCCTTGTATCCTATCAAACTACTTTGGTGCCTTCAACGTGTTTAGTATATCTGTCTATACTAAAGTCAAGGAAACACAAATTCTGCCGATAGATAGATAGATAGATAGATAGATAGATAGATAGATAGATAGATAGATAGATAGATAGATTAGATAGATAGATTAGATAGATAGATAGATAGATAGATAGATAGATAGATAGATAGATAGATTGATTGATTGATTGATTGATTGATTGATTGATTGATTGATTGATTGATTGTCCAACCTTTTGACTTGCCTGGACTGCATTGAGTGAAGAGGAATTGTTTTTGGCCACATATAAAATATATAATTTAGTTTATATATATATATATATATATATATAAATAACAAGCTTCATTTATTTTATTTTTAAAATATTTGTATTATCTTGTGGGGCCGCATTACTAGCTGCCCAGGGCCGTAGGTTGGACACGCCTGATATAGACTTTCTGAAAATTATACAGAAAATATACAGGAACGTAGAAAAGATATGGAAATAGGCTTAGGAGGTTAATTTATAGTCTGTGATGAGGAAATGGCAGCCACAGAAAAATATTTGATAATAAGGCTCAGGTTCTCATTAGGTCTATGCAAAGCTTTCAGGAGAGAAGCTGAATAACAGGTGGGAGCAACTACGAAGCAATGTGGCAATACATTCAAGACAGCTGGGAGCAACTTATCAAGCAGTTTTGTAAAACTGAAAAAAGACATGGCTATTTTACCGATTTGAAAAGAGCAGCTTTAAATCTGCTCTTTCATATTATAATGCACCTCTTTTGAAGAATTTGCATAATTCCTCATCCCTTAAAACATGCCTTGAGGGCGTGGGCATCTTTGTCTGGCACTCACCTGGATTTTTGTTCAGAATGAACAGTAATTTAACATGATCAGGATGATTGTAGCTGAATTGTTTCATTTGCAAATGTGGGATGCTTCAGGGGGTTGGGGAAAGCCCGGGAACCCAGCACGTGTGTGGAGACCTGCCAAGGGCCAGCTAGAGGGCCCCCTAGCGCACAGAACCTGTTGGAGACTAGGAGGCCTCAGCCTTGTTCACACCTCACAATGCCCAGGAGGCCCAGACCTGCTCCCCAGCCTGCACACCTGGGAAAGGCCCAACAAGGCACATAAATTGCTCTGCTTACCTTTGCATTTTTTTGTAGCTTCTGATAGGTGCACCTAGCCAATGTGACATGCAGCCCTTCTACAGATGCCACCTCATGCCATTCTGCAAATGAGCACCAGCTCTCACAATCATTCGGAAGGCTAAAAGGCTAGACACTCACTCTAGCCTCCCAAATGATCGTGCTAGCAAATGCATTTATTGGAAAGGCTATAAAGAGGCTTTTTTAGTCTTCTAAACAATCACATGAGCTGGCGCCATTCTCTTTTTACCCTAGGCTAGAAAGCTAGCGGACATGATTATTTGGACAGCCAGAAAGAGCCTCTTTCTAGCTTTCCAAATGATCACCAGAGTTGGTGCCAGTCTCACATTAGTAGTTCGGAAGTCTACTTCTCCAAATCACACAATTTGGCATCTGCTTGCAGAATAGCATGAGACAGTCTCTATGGAAGGCTGTATATTGCATCGGCTAAATGTTCCTGTCAACAGAGGCAGAAAAACTCAAAGGTAAGTGGGCAAATTATGTGTGCTATCCGTGTAACAAATTGAGGTCTCCTGGGCATAGTAGGATGGGGAGCAGGTCCAACCTCTAAGCCTGCAGTAGATTTGTGCACACTGATGGATCTGGTGGGCTGCTGAGCTGGGGCACCCCTGTGGTCAGTCCTAAGAGCGGACAGGCTGCCAAGCACTTAAATGTTCATTGTGGGGGCAATGGCTGTAACTTTGGCTAAGTCCCTTTGTTTAGCCCTATTACAATTTTAAATGGTCACTTAATGAACGGTGATTAAGCAAGGAATACCTGTACTTTAGTGAAATCATTCAAAACTACTAAATCCAATATTTAATTCCCCCTCCCACCAGAAAAAACCGGTGAGAAGAAGGTATGAACCATATGGGATGTATTCTGATGATGATGCAAACAGTGATGCCTCCAGTGCTTGCTCAGAGCGGTCCTATGGTTCCCGCAATGGAGGTATCCCACACTACCTGCGACAAACAGAAGATGTAGCTGAGGTCTTAAACCACTGTGCTAGTTCCAACTGGTCTGAAAGGAAGGAGGGGTTAATTGGCTTGCAAAACCTATTGAAGAGCCAGAGGACATTAAGGTGAGTGCATATTTAATTAGTAACTATTAGTATATTTTGTACCTGTTCTTTATCAAGTCTTTAAAAGAGTTCCATAAATTATGACATGTTTATGCTTCTTCTAATTCATCAATATTTTGTTTAATATTAATCTTAGTTGTATGGTATATTTTAGATAGTCAGCATTTTAATGATGGGACTGTGTTTTTTGTTACTCTCACCCATTATTATCATTATTTTTGAATCCAATTTATAATTATGATGAACAATTGGAATTAATATCATTGCAGAATAGCTTTTCTACTTAGTGATAGAGATATTGTAGATATTCAAAGCTGTTCATATAATGAAATGTATTTAGGAGCCTTTTCATCTTCTTTTTACCTTGAATAAATTAAGAAAATAGAGAAGATTTTGAAAAAGTTGAGCTGTGGCTTAGAACATACTTTGGACTTCCGGTGGTGACTTGGAGGTGGTGCAGGGGAAAGAGGACAGTCTCTGTCCTCCAACTCTGATTTTTTTCAAGTTTGGAGACCCTTCAGGGGCACTGAGAGTCTGGAGGGCTACGTGCGAAAAGGGTGAAGCCTTGGGGAGTAGCGAGGTGAGAGGCAATCACCCACTACGACGGAGGAAAACTCTTAAATCCAACTTGAAAACTTTGGCTATCAATAGATGGCGGATCCGAGGCCTCGACTAACCACAAATGCGGAAGCAAGATATACTTAATAGACTATGTCATTGAGTGAGTTTAAAAAATTATGAAAACATTCCAAAATAATAGAAAAGTCTAAAAGATTTACTTGTCTGTTAGCTCTGGTGTTGTAAGGAAGCTCAGTTGGAGAGGGAATCCTCAGCGCAAGCGGCGACCCAGCAGGAAGAGCTGTGAGTCAGCAATTAATATAGCCAGAGCATTAACAGGAGTGAGACAAAAGAAAGAAAAGTTTTTGTGGTAAACGTTATAGCACAGAACGAAGAAAGTGAAAGAAAATAAAAATAAAAACCAGAGAAAGCAAAAATATTTTGAATGTTTTGCATCATCTCCTTTGAAGATATATCATCCACATCCCTCAGTAATCAAAAATAAATAAAAGAGCAAAATGTGTATCCAGATTCAGGGCATCTGAATGAAAACTCTGGGTTAAAGAAAGCACAACAAATATGTAGATAGTAACTTTCCTAATATACATATGAAACAGTATGCATAGAGAATTATGGGACACTGCCCAAACTTGCTTGGTGGGGCCCTAGTTTAGAAAAAAGCTGAACTGATGATTAAATACTCTGACATTTAAAATAAACAGTTTAATGAGAAGACGTTTATGAGAAATGATATAAAATGTTCAATGCATTCCAGTTCTGTTATTCCTAATGAAGCTACCTCTTGTAATTTCCTTGGCTCAGGTCAAGTGTGTTGAAGTCCAAGACAGCGCGTCCAAGAGAACTGAAATTACTTGTTTTGTGTCCCATTTGTTCTTTTGTATTGCCATAAAACACGATTGAATATATGCCATGGGAGTGAGTTGGACACCAGAAGTGCACTATCCAAAAATCAGTGGGAGAACATTTTAGTTCTCCAGAACTCTCTGTTTAAGACCTCAAGGGGGGGGCAATCCTTGAGCTGTGTGTTTCTGGAAAAAAGATTGAACCTAAGACTTTTCCCTTCAGTAAAGAGAAGAAGGAGTCATCTTAATATGTAAGGAGAACATACTGCAAGGCAGATCAGTTCTTTACATGGGGCATAGCTAAAGTACATTTTGACAAGACAGCAAAACATTTAAAGATAGAGGGACCAATCTTTTGGCTTGCCTGGCCTACACTGAGTGAAGATGAATTGTCTTGGGCCGTATATAAATTATATAATTAATATATATAAATCACATGATGATGTTAAAAGTTTATGATCTTGTGGGGTCACATTACTAACTGTCTGGGGCTGTGGATTGGACATGCCTGATTTAGATTATATCACAAATGTTAGAAGGCTAAAGTATAGTCTCTTAACCTTATATTGAAGTCCTCTCATCTGTTGAGATTAGAGTGAAGTTTCCTTGTCTATACTCATTTGCTGGTTTGGAAATAAATGATGGGTTTTGTATGTACATTTCTCTTGCTATCTTTTGCCATTTCTAATGTTCTACAATAATTTGGGTTTTTGTTTTCTTTTGTTTGGGTTTAGCCGTGTGGAGTTGAAAAGGTTATGTGAAATCTTCACACGTATGTTTGCAGACCCCCATAGCAAGGTAAATTTTAAAATATATGCACCTTTTATTAAGAATCCATAAATGTTGGAGGTTGGGTTATAAATAAATGATTAAACTGAAATGATAATCATACTATTTCAACTTTTGTGCTAAATAGTTGTTTAGTTTTTGCAGTTATCTCTGGTGAGATATTTTTAAATTCCATAATTAAATCATACAAGTAGAATATTATCTAGAGGAGAACATTTCCTTTAAATGTAAGAAGATAAATTATTTCAAAAACATGTATTGCCTCAAGAACTAAACAGTTGACCTTGCATATTATAAAAATATTCTTTCATAAAGTTATCTTAAACTTTCTGTGAATGCAATTTATCTGAATGCAAGGGAAACTGCCTTAAAGCAATTTGCTTTGATTTTTTTATATCAGTTTACTAATGAATGGTTTGTTTTGTTGCATGGCCTGTTTTGCGGTGGAATTCACAACAGAGAGTAAGTCTATTTTCCTTCCTCACTCTCACCACTTAATCTCACTTCTTTTATCTATTTAATGTGAATCATCCAGTACATCCTGGTACTTCACAATATTAACATGGATGTCAAAATCATCCCCATTAATGCAGGTCTTGTTTGCCTTTGATTTTCATCATTTTTGTGTTAATCATGATGTTAATAATTATGTAAATCATGACTTCCCCTGTTATTTCTTTAACTTAAAGGTTTTCAGCATGTTTCTCGAAACCTTGGTAGACTTCATCATTATTCACAAGGATGATTTGCAGGACTGGCTCTTTGTTCTTCTGACACAGTTACTCAAGAAGATGGGTGCTGACCTGCTGGGATCGGTGCAGGCCAAAGTGCAGAAAGCTCTGGATGTAACAAGGTAGTGTATCTGCTAAGTAACTGGGGATAACCTGCTGACATATTTTTTTAGATAATGCAAAACCCGCTTGCAGTGCCTTGCAGATACGATGGATTGCAATGTTTATCATCTCCAGATAGAATAGCTATTATTTAGTGTCTCATAAATTGAGTCTGTTAAGCCACAACCATGAGCCTCTCATCTGATACAATTGTCCAGACGGAAATTGGAAGAATTTATTTCCTCATTTAAATCCCGTGTCAAAATTAGGCTAAACTAAGAATACATGAAAGTAAAGTCTTTGAAGTAAACCAAGTTCAAAATAGAGTAATCTACACCTGGATTGCTTCTTTTTACTAAGACTTGGATCCTTTATCTGTCCTTCTTGTGGCTTAAGAACATACCGTACATAATTACTCAGAAAGTTGACTGAAAACTGGGGGTGTATCTATTTATTTTTATTTCTTAGACTGTGGCATGCAACTGCTATATATTTAATTTTTCTCTGTCTGAGGAAAACGCTGGTTATATTTAAATCTTGGAACTTGTTCTCATGCTCTCTCTTCCCTTTTCCCTTTCCATTGTAGAGATTCTTTTCCATTTGACCAACAATTTAATATTTTGATGAGGTTTATCGTAGATCAGACCCAAACACCAAACCTTAAGGTAGGTTAAGGTGCTTGCAGTTTCATTGGGAAGTGAGTATGTCCGAGAGTAAAGTCAAGCATAATGCTTACATATAGATAAGTGGAGCAAATACATTTTTATTCTTGGTTATATTTTAAGGGTTTTCAGAAAAACTAGAGCTGGCTCTTTTGCAGCAAGAAATGGTTCATAAAAAGATTGGGCCTGAGAAAAGTTTTTTTGCTTTGGAATTTGTTGTGTTACCTTTATTTACAAAATGTATTCTATTCACTTCAGGTAAAAGTGGCAATATTAAAATACATTGAATCCTTGGCTAGACAAATGGATCCTACAGATTTTGTAAACTCCAGTGAGGCTAAACTTGCAGTTTCTAGGATTATTACCTGGACAACAGAACCAAAGAGCTCAGATGTAAGAAAGGTGAGTCAAAGCAATGGGAGGCAATAATTGATGGAATTCTTGTAAATTCATTCAAAAAAAATTAAGATTATATCAAAGGAATAAATTCATTCAGTTGGACTCAAAATGTGCTTTTGCTGGATAAATACACTCCTTCCTTCGGTAGAAGCCATTTGCTCCAACCAAATATTTCAGTTATATTAGTTAATAATTTGCATTGATCCCCCCTCTCTGCAGTCTTCTTTGTCATTCCTTTCCCCTTTTTTTCTGGAGCCTTGGGTAAATTTTCACATAGTGTGGAAGGGCATGCTAAAGAATGCAGATTGAGACTTTTCAGTTAGTGGAAGCATTTGAGTGGAATTCAACTGAGGGAAGATTCATTCTCTGAAATGAAATTAGAGATGGATAACTTTGGAGGGCAAAAACCTTGTTCAGGAAAATAATCAGGAGCCAAATTATGTTTTGGCTGAAAATAAAACCTGGACAAAACACACCTTGTTTCTCTTTCTCTTCCCTCCCCTTTATTATAATCACAATTGAAAGATATTCTTTTATTTTCTGACATTTTGTATGTATTCCAAATGTGCATGCAAATGCACTCATGAAAGTACAAATGCATATCATTCTTTCCAGAAAGGGCATATCAAGCACACACAAAAGGGAAATTTCTTTCATGTCCATCCATGTGTGCATTCACATGCATCTTTTGTATCCTCCCCATCCACACACTTTACTAGAACCTGTAGGAAGCAAGGTTTCAGGTGAGCAGTGGTAGGATGGAGAGGAAATTGCTGGCCACGAATTCCAACTAATGGCTTAAATAAATAAAAAGTTTTGGAGACCAAGAAAAACTTTTCCTATTTTAAAATATGACACGGTAAGAATTCTGTGGAAGGCGTGGTAGTAACCCTGCACAGATAATACAGTGCCCCTTAAAGCACTTTCAGAAAAAACATGTAGTAGTACTGCACCATTCCACTTCTATTCAATGGAGCACTCATGCCATCATTTTGCTTGGGAACAGTGGCTTCTGCTAATTGACCTGCCTCAACTCTTTGTTAAAGTAGAGCACTAAGTGACTGTGAGTTGTTCACAGTGCTGAGGCTGTGCAGTAAATCTCTGTGAGGCAAAGTATGTACTTCATCAGAGCAAATCTTCCACGATCATACATGCACATATACATACACAATGAGAAGTAGAGAGATCAGTTGCCTGTGAGGTTCCTCCGTCAGCTTTTCAGTTTTCTTACTAGCTCCTCTATGAGGAAAAGTTAATCATACCAAGTTTCAAATTTGCTTTCTTGCCAACGTTCACGTTAACGTGGTCCATGAAGTTCCCAGCTGTGCCATGAGGTGCCGTCTTTGTCATGCATGTCAAAAAGAATATCACCTTGGAAACTTTTTAGAGTAAGGTTAAACTATGTAGAAGAAAATGCGCGCTTGTGGTGTTCAAGAGGAGAGGACAGATTAAAGGAAGTCCATTGAAATCGAAAGAGGAAGCTGATAAAAAAAAATAGGTAGACATGAAATGCATCTTGCCAAAAGGCAACAACATATAGTGCATACAGATTAAATGGCAAGGGATGGATTATATAGCCCCATGATGGCGAACCTATGGCACGCGTGCCACAGGTGGCACGCAGAGCCCTCTCTGTGGGCACGCGTGCCGTCACCCCAGTCCTAGGCCTTCAGCTGGGTTTTATAAAACCTTTTCGCTTTAGGTCTCTGTTGCCGTGTGCAAAAAAAAAGAAGGTTCAATCAATCAATCAATTTCAACTTCTCGCGGGGAAATAAAGATCTTGCAAAGTTGGAATTGATTGAACTTTTTAGTCCCACCCAGTCTGCCGTTATCACTGCAGCCACGCCCACCCAATGGGCCATGCCTACCCAATGGGCCACGCCTACCTGGCACTCGACGATACATAAGTGGGTTTTTGGGTTGGAGTTTGGGCACTCGGTCTCTAAAAGGTTCGCCATCACTGATATAGCCTTTTGAATATCCATTTTGGAATGAGAGCTACTGCATTGAATTTGTTGAGAGTAGAGTTACAACATTAACAATTGTTTACAGTGAAATAAGGCATCATTAAATAGACAATAAGGCATTCAAGAAGTATTTCTTCAACATAACAATATGACTAATGGATTCAGTGCACAAAAAAGAGAAACAATTCACATTGGGGTTTACATGCTTTTATTCCTTCTTTTCTACAAATTGTTTTTATGCTAACCATGATGCAGAAAGATGCATACAACGATTCTTGCAATGGATATTGCTGATATAGTTGTCTTGTGACCATATTTTATAAGCCTACTTCTTAGCCAGATTATTTGAACAGTCCTATTATTATTTAAAGACAGTTTAGATCTGGAGATAGATTAGGATTAACTCAAGCAATCAACAAGAGGACATATTTAGAAGGATTTGTATGTTTTCTTTTTACTTCAAGGTAAAAATATGATAGAAATTTGCGGAAGCATTAACAATATGAAAAAACAATAAGTTATTTCATTATTCATCTAATGCTGGAAGGCAAAAAATACGATCTGTGAGCTGCATGCTGTCCACCACTACTGTATTCATTGGGTCCTTAATATTTCTTTCATGATTGTGATAGTAGTCAGAGAAAACCTTTACTGTACATAGTAAATCAGGAGAAAGGCTATTCTGTCTCCTTCCACCATATTGATAGAGACGATGAGAAAGGTTAGTTAGCATGAGAAAGATCTTTTCTCTAAACCTTTATTCCAGGTTCCAGAACAAGGAGTTCTGTCAAAAGCAACTTCCAGTGTTTGTTACATAGAAAAAAAGTATAAAAACATCTTTTAAATAAAACAGCTTGGTGTTTTCCTCATTGTTAGGTAAGCAAATGTCTACTGTGCTGATGACTGTTAAGAGCCCACTTAACACTATCATCACCACCACCCCAAAATTAAAACATTCTCTTTGGTATTTTAACATGCCAATATCATCTAGAACACAGGTGTCAAACTAGCCGGGTCACGTGACATGTTGCGACGTATCGTGACTTTTTTTACATTGCCGGAGCTGGGGTGGGCCCGGCCTCTACATAATGCAACCGGCCCAAGGGCCTGTAGTTTAACAACCTGATCTAGAACTCTAATCTTGTTGACAGGTCAATAGTCATTTTAAAAATCTTTTTTAATTTTTCAAAGTATAGTTTACAAAAATAGGTTGAATGTTGCTCGACCATAAGGACAAAAAAATACTTTTGTATACAGTGCATCATTGTTAGTGCTATTGCAGTGAAAGGCTTCCTAATTTGCTGCTTTGCAGATTTGCTGCTGCTTGACTGCATCAGGCTTTAACCATATGCACCTATCTGTTTAGAAGCAGGCTGTAGTAAAAAGATAAACCAACTTATGATGGTTCACTTAGACACAGTAGCACCTGTGACATAAGTACAAAGTTGGAGATAGAACTGGCTGGCCTCAGGTTGTAAGTTTTGTTTATCTGTTTTCAAAAAGACTGAGTAAGGAAATAAATAACTAAAAATAATGTTACAGCTATTGAATGCTATATGAGTAACAGAGGAATTGTAAAATTTACACCTACAAATTGTAAAGGGCATTAAAGTTCAGGTCAGGAAAAAATAAGACTTATATCCACTTTTACATAATGGCCATCCACTTTCATTTTTGTGTCATCAGTTCCATGTTGGAAGAGCATCTCTGCTTTATAATGCGGTCAGTGAAAATCTTGTGCTTGGTTCTAATAAATAATATTCCATTTCCTATTTGTTGAACTCAGACCATGCATAGTTGGGTAGGTGAGGATATGCCAGCTAGACCAGCAGCAGCCTCGTCAGGTCCTGGTGAAGGAAACTTGGAAGAAAAGTGTAAACAGGTAGACTAAAAGTAGCATACACTAATCATAAAATATTAGTCTGTGTTTGCAGTCCAAAATTCTAATCTAGCTTAGATTTGTGGGAAAAATGGATGGGGGGGGGGGGGATTTTTTTAAAAAAATGTAGTGGTGTGTGATAACCTCACGTGTGTTTCTTTCACTCTGGTTTGAATTAGATTAAATGAGTATTATATGAGGTATCTGCAGCTAGTTGCAGTCTCTTATGAGTTCACATCCCAGTGTGGATGGAAAATGACTGAAAGCTTCCAATTCAATATTGCATGTCTGCTGTTCCATCAACTTGCAACATGCATGAGCTTTAGGTTCTTGCTAATACAGCTCTTCCCTGTTAACAGGAGACAAAGGCAAAGGACCTTTATTTATACACAGTGACAACTTGGGTTGTACCAAAGTGCTTATACACCTTTTTCCTTTGGCATTTGTGGGATGTTATTTACAGTCGCCCCTTTTGATAAATTTTTGGGTTTTAATAGATGTTATTGGAAAATTTTTGAGGGAAACAAAATTGTAACAGCAACTGGCAGAATCGGTTTAAGAACCAATAAGGCAGCTGAAAAAGTATAAAGGAATTTGCACTGCAGCCCAAATTGAACCCACTTGAATTGGGAAGGTACAAAATAGAACTGGATACATAGAATTGGATCTTTTGCTTGGTTGCTATACTGACTTGCATGTAGATGTCCCTAACTAAACTAAAATTCCCATGCTTGGATCAGCATGATTTTTCTGATTGTTCATATAGCTATTTTTCTTTATTTGTTATCCATTCTTTTCTTGGACTTGACTTGAAATAATATTTTCTGTTCAAAGAATGTTCTTTCAATGAATGTTCCACATTTCTGTAGGGCAGGATGAGTATGACCATATGTGGCTTATTTTTCACTTTCTGGGTTCTATGCAAACAGATTTCCCACCTAGTTAGAAGGACATTGATTTGAGGAAGAAGGAGAGGCCAGCTGGAACTATTTCATGTTGTTCTTCACTTACAATATTTAATTTTGAAGGAACAGTGCTTATTCTAATGGAAAGGATACTGGTTCAAGGACTGAATTTCAGTCATAATTGATAGATTAAACCTCACACAGCCTTTTAGCATCTAACAAGTCATAATGGGTATTTTTTTCAAGGCAAGCATTACAGGACAGCACACAGAAACTGAATGAAACTTAGTTGTACTTTTTCTTAGTGACTTTTTCTTATCCTGCCAAAATTTATTATTAGGCAAATGAAAAATACACATATAGAAAGATAGAAATTACAAGTATGGGTTAATAGTTGAAATTAGAAGTTAATAATGCAACCCTATAAATGTTTATTAAGAGCCAGTTTGATGTGATTAAGTTACTAGACTAGAAACCAGGAGACTGTGAGTTCTAGTCTCACTTTAAAGATAAGTAGAAAGATAGGAATAGATAGACACACATAAACATACAAAGAAAGAGAGAGATCGTTTTCTTCAGGTACTAGCTTGTACTGGAATAGCTAATTTGATTTATAAAAATAATTTGATTTATTGAATAGTTGCGATCAATTATTTAAGTTCATGAATAAATGCATGTTATTAATGAATCAGTATCACCTGTTCTGTTAAAGTATGAAGTATATGATGGAAGTCTGGAATCAGCTTGTTTACAGGGTAATTTAATTTTCAAAGCTGTGTAAACACAATGTGTTTCTATTTTTTTACAAAAACTTTTTGAACCTGTAATTATTGGAAATTGTTCGATACAGGAAATTGAATTATATGTATTTTTGTTGGACTTTTGTAGACCTTGCATTCTTAATTTGCAGTTTACAGAAAATGAAACAAGGGGCATTTCATTAGATGTGAGAAGTGTTTTGCTTTGATTCTTTTTTTTTTTTTTTACTGTAATGGATTGATCTGCGCAGTATTTCCCTGTTATGTATTTGGAATGTGTGATATTATAGGTATAATGAATGTACTTAACTGAAGTCCGGATATTGTGATACGTCCCTGTAACACTTAACAATTTTTTAAGAAAACGCTGTGATTCTGACTTTTTTCTTCGTTTTACTTCCTAGGCAGCGCAAATAGTCCTGATCTCTCTGTTCGAACTGAACACTCCCGAGTTTACCATGTTACTTGGTGCCTTGCCAAAAACATTCCAGGATGGTGCTACCAGACTATTACATAATCACCTCAAGAACTCCAGCAACACTAGTGTGGTAAGATCAGGGTTTTTTTCTGTAAAAAATAAACAGCAAAAACAAAAATTTCTAAAGACTGTACTTTCTTGAGTACCAATTAATTTCGGCAGAGTCATAAAAATCTGCAGTTTTGGCTTTACAAGGCAGAAGAGATACTACTTTTAATAAAAGAGGTGCCGTTATTCTGAATGAATTCAAAGGGTGTATGTCTTTTTATTATCCTCAGTTCTGAGTTCAAGAATCCTGTACTTTTATGTGAACCTGGGCATCGTCTTGATATTGTGGTGGATGGTGTGCATATTGTACCCATAAGGTTCACCTAACCTTGGTCTCTCATTATCCTGTCAAATTCTAGGGGCATTTTTTTTTACTGCAGTTGTAAAGGTTTTTAAAGGACTTTGAGGACTGTCAAGAAATAATGCTTAAAAAACATTGCCCCATTACCCTGCATAGTTTGCTCTATCTACATATTAGCTCTGCTTGCTAATATGCCACGATGCCAAGTGTGGCTCTTGGCAAAAGAAGAGGGAACAGGAAAGATCAGATACTAGAGATCCAGTAGCTTAAAGTTAAGAAAAAAAACTTTAGCTTTAGAGGCTAAAATAGGAGGAGGAAGATGTGGTGGATACGTTCACCGTCTTGAGTTATTTGTAAAAATAATAAAGCCGGGAAATAGATAGATAGACAGACAGACAGACAGACAGACAGACAGACAGACAGACGATGATAGATAGATAGATAGATAGATAGATAGATAGATAGATAGATAGATAGATAGATACATACATACATACATACATACATACATACATACATACATACATACATACATACATACATACATACATACATACCTGTTCCCAGGGAAGTAGTTCAGTGATGTCTGTAGCACACTATGGTGATGCCAGAATGATGATCTACTCAATGATGTCACCATGCAAATGTCGCTACTACAAATTTTCAGTTATTTGTATCGGATGCAATCAAATAGTGTGATATTATGTGATGTCCTGATGCAGGTGTCACCTTTTGCCCTCCAGTGGACAACCAGGAAGGGAGGAGCATTGGGAGCCAATACACAAAATATTCAAGAAGAAATTCAAACCAGAAAATTCCAAAGTTTTGCTGCCACTGAAATGCTCTCACTTTTGAAGCTGCAGCTGGGAAGAACAGTAGAAATGTAGGTCCAGCTGCATGGAAGGAAAAGGGAGATCTCATCTTCTCCTACTCTGCTAAACTTGAGTGCTCTCATACATTCATACACAAACGCCTAAGATATCCAGTCAAGACTTCTTACTTTGCTGTATTTCTTGAAAAATATGTGCTTTCAAGGAGCCCCCAAAGCCTTTCATTCTAGAATACTGCTATAAGTCATCAACGTGAAGGGAAAAAATTCAGGTCTCCCTATAATAACCCTTCTGCTTCTATCAGATAGATGATATGTATGTTGATAAGCAGCTTGTCTTATTTACCTTATAATATAAAGAAACCAATAGTGGATAACTTCCAACCCTAGAAAATTCTTATTGAATGGGTACTTGGTTAATACGAAGCAATGGGTACTTGGTTAATAGTCAAAATTAAAATGTTCGTAGATACTGCTAAAGTCAGAATTTAAATTAACTGAAGTAAAGTTCCCATATTTCATTTTACTTTTCCCTGTAATTATGTTACATTATGTTATTTCTTCTCTTTTTTGTATATCAGGGTTCTCCTAGTAATACTGTTGGCCGAACCCCTTCACGTCATCTTAGCAGCAGAACCAGCCCCTTAACTTCACCTACCAACTGTTCTCATGGAGGAATATCACCCAGGTAACATGGTAGCTTAATTAAAGTATGACTCCAATATGTAAAAGCTTTCTGCTTAAAATACAATTGGCTAAAAACTCAATATAGATGCATATATAATATATACTTGTTCAGTTGTGAAAATAGGGGAAGAAATAATTTTGTTTCTCTTAAGGAAAAAATAATAGTCTTTGTAAAAATACTAAATATTTAGGTAATGTCAAAAAGGTATGATAATATCTACCCTTTTGTCCTGCAAACATATAGTCATAAATATATTCAAATGAATATGTATTATATTCATTTAAAAAAAATACTTTTACATTTGTTCTCGTTTCCTTTACAGTCATATTTAAAGATCTAAAAAAGGAGAGAAGGAACTTTGGGGATGCTTTATCAATAAACTGGAAAATGCGACTTTAGTTTCACTTATTTGTAACGTTCTTAAAATGTGCTGCCAAGAAAATCAAGAAAAATCATTTTCTGCCTAAAGTGACTGTATAATGGTTGTAGTGGTATAATATGAAAAATATAGTTGATTAACATGCCCATGTTTTTTTCTGCTTCTTGTGGGAGATGAGTCTGGATGTATAAATTACGAGGGCAATTCAGAAATAAACCTCCATTTGGTTATCAATGATAGACACTCGCAGATACAGAACTTTTATTATACACATTAGAAAACTACAACATTACATTACTTTTCAACATAATCACCATTAAATTGAAGCACTTGTCATAACGTGTTACAAAGTTTGAAATTCCTTAGTAGTAGTCACTCGGCACCAAATCTGGCTATGGGGAGGGGGAGTGATCAAAAACATCCCAACGGAACTGCTTCAAAAGTTCTTGGGTGTGTCTTGCGGTGTGCGCATGAGCATTATCATGAACCAACATCACACCAGAAGTGGTGCCATAGAAAATCCCGCCAAATGTGAAGATGCTAAAGGAGTACTGCTAGTGAAGTTCATGGAGCATGGTTCATTCATCAATTCAGAAGTCTACTGTGAAATATTACGAAAACTCAGACGAGCCATCCATAACAAGTGTTAGGGCATGCTGACTTCCAGTGTGATGTTGATTGACGATACTGCTCGCCCGCACACCGCTAGACACACCCAAGAATTTTTGAAGTAGTTCTGTTGGGATGTTTTTGATCACCCCCGCTATAGCCCAGATTTTGCACCGAGTGACTACTACTAAGGAATTTCAAACCTTGTAAGATGTTATGACAAGTGCCTCAATTTGAATGGCGATTATGTCAAACCGTAATGTAATATTGTAGTTTTCTAATGTGTATAATAAAAGTTCTCTATCTGCGAGTATCTGCATCTGTGAGTGTCTGTCATTGATAACCAAATGGAGGTTTATTTCCGAATTGCCCTCGTACATATAGTAATAAAAATATTTTGAAAGGATGGTGACAATAAAATTTGAGATAGCAGTGTATATGTATACATAAATATTCTAATTCAGAACCATTTTCTTCCAAAAGTTAGTGTGTGAATAGACTTACTAAAAGGAGTAACTATTTGCCTGTTCCTAGAATTTCTTTGGGGGAGGCATACAACCTGGGGGCATATACCAGAGAAGGGACACTTTAATCTATTTTGTCTCACAAATATAAATGGAAATATCTTCCCTTATTAAGTAACATTTTTGTACTGATGGAAATATTACAAGAATGTTATTGATATTTCATTGTGAAATGATTTGACCATTAGCATCCTGTCCACATGCTATCAATTTTAAAGTAACTATTTTCTGTTGATCCTGCTACTTAACATATCAACCTCTATCATATTCTGTTGATCCAATATGTTGTTCTGAAATGCAGTCCATACTAAAAGTCTCTACTGAATATTATTGACTCAGAACATTATTTGCAATTGAGTCAAGTGGCCTTTGTTTATAAATATTGAAAATATTAAGTTTCAACTTGCTGGAATGGAATTTGGCACATTAGCAAGTTTGCTCCTCCAAGCAACTCATGAACTTTGATCACAATAAATAGGATTAACAAAAGGTGTATCTGCTCCCTAAACATTTACTGTATTTACACCTGACTCTCTACTTGAAAAATTAATTGCAAACAAAATTCCTACTGTTAGTGGGGTTTAGTCCTAGCTACATGCCCTGGGCCCCAACATAGCACCAGGGGATCATCTATTTAGATTTTTAAAATTGAAAACAATGAATGCGAAACGCATATCAGTGTCAATATAAACTGTATTTTCAGCTGTGTTTATAAGTGTCACATAACATGGTACATGGCTACAGGCCAATATTTATTTTATCTTCTGGGTTTTGTGATTGGCTACATCCACTATGAATAATCATTTTGTGAGAATGTCCTTAACATTCATTGTCCCTATTAATAGTATTTACATACTGTCACTATTCCAAATGAAAGGTTGAGGATTTCTGGCATATGCATGTGGGAATGCAGCCTAAAAGTCCTTAAGTATATCTTATAATTATTCAGAATGCAGGTATAGGTTTTAAATACAATGCATGTTTTAGCTAATGTGAGTTTACCAACATGTGCATAGCAGATACAAAAAATGCAAAAAGTATTCTTTATCCTGTACAAATATGACCTTAGTGGGGAGGGGTTTTCCCCCTTTTCAAAATTTTTTAAAATGTCTGACATTTTCTTCTCCATATATAGTATTTTTCAGTTCTATGTGTATTATACAACCTACTCTGTTTGGCCATTTTAGGTTATTTTGTTCCACTGAACTTATTCTTTGATAAAATCAGGATAGTTTTATTCTAATTAGTGTCAGCTTTCCACAAGTCAAGAAATCTAAATCTCTAGAGATTTTCAGCATAATGATTATATATGTTTAAAATAAATATGGTGTATATTTGCTTGTATATGTATGGATATGCATTGTAATATACAAATAAAAACACATACATACATGGGGTTATTTTTCTTAAGGAAAAAAATGCATATATATTTGATTTTATATTCTGTTTCTGAACAAGCTTTTTGCTCCAAGCTATGCATTTATTATATTTTTATCCATTGTCAATATTTTAGTTTTCAGTCATATTTTGCTGTTTTTATTAAATTACTTTCTTTTTCAAGCTTTAACCTATAATATTTGAGAAACATTTCACTGTGACTTTTACATTTTTCTTTGATCTGGCTTTTTATTTTACACTCTAATTTTTTGTTCCTGCTTTTCAGAAATGTTGGAACAAAAAAACAATCCTTCAGGATTTAAACTATAAAGCTCATTTACAAATATAACTTATATTCTTTTGATTTGATGAAACATAGTATTGAAATGAAATGAATCTCTTTCATTGCATCTGAGTTGCATTTGTTGTTCAAATTAACATTTTGAAAGAATTAACCAGCAAAATATATCTCTTTAGTTTGAAATGCTAAAAGGCCCTTTTTCTGTCAGAATGTTGTATGTTGGAGTTACAAACTTGTCAATTTGTTTGGTTATAGTGAGATAGTAAGGGAGAATTGGTCATACTTTGTTAAAATTTGAGGTTGCATGTCTTCAGTTGCTTGCCCCATAGGATCACATTTGTAATGTTAGCCTTTTTCTCTCCAAATGCAAAAGTATGTAAACATAACTTATTTTTGGCCTTTTTTTTTCCTCTGAAAGACTTTCATGACAAACAGCTAAAGAAGCATGCTGTGATAAGGTTGTGCAGAGATCTAGCGTCAAAGAGCAAAATTTGTGGACATGTACGGAACATCTGTTGGAATCCTCTAAAAAGGGTTGCACTTTTTCCTGGGTAATAACTTTTCCAGGGAAACATATGGTTGTTTTAAAATGTTCTCAACTGGTGCTATATATGATATGCCCATGCTCACTTTGAATTTTACATTTTGCCCTTCGAATCCAGATCTTTGCACAGCTCTAAAGTACTGCAAAATTATTCTGATGTCTCATTTGATGACTTGCAGCATTTTTCATTTATTTCTACACCAATTGTGATTTTTTTGCTATAATGACATACTGGAAACTCAATAGAAACAAAATGACTAATTGAATACTCCAGCAGTTCTAGAAATAAGTCCCAATATATGGCATGGCTCATCTTATAGAACTGCCTCAACAATGATGGACAATGCCATATCTGGCCTTTTTCATCTTGGTAAATCTTTGCAACTGCTAATAAATATCTGGCATGGAGATAGGCTAAAAAGCTACGGTAACATGAGATGCCCAAAATGTCTTACATTGGAGAGTCAGATCTGCAGTGTTTAATTTTCCTTCCAGAAATTATGTTTTAGTAATGGTTTGTGTATTTCCAGAAGTAGGCAACTCAGAACTGGAAGTGGTTCATGGGGGTATTGGATTTGATATGGCCCCAAAATAGATACAGTATGAGAGATTTCTAAGGGTTTGTCTTTATTTACCTGATTTAGACATTAGAGTAGTATTGGATAAAACTAGTCAACAGAATGTGGGCTATAGGAAACAGAAAGACTTTTTTCTCAGTTCTGGAAAGTGATTGCTTAGAAGAATGAATTAATAAATGGGAGAAATAAGCAACCCTGTTTTAAACTATAGTATAAATTATCAGTCTGAATGCTAGTTGTTCTGGTTTTTTCTGCTTTCAGTCTTGTATTAGGGCATTGGAAAACTGCTATCAGTTTGTTTGCTTGACAGTTGGGCTGCTAAAGGTGAGCGGGTTTTAAGTACTGTATGGTATAAATGATGGAATCATATGCCCATAGGTATGACTATAAGAAGAAATTGTAGTATTTAATATTTAGTGCTGCTTCTGAATAATTGGTGGTTGTTTATATTGAGTATACGGTGAGGCTAAGGAGAACTTACTGAAAGATTTATTAAAAAAACAGACCGTGGGATATATTTTCAGCTTATGCAGGTGTCTACCGAGATCTATTTGTGTTATATCTTTAAATCTCATATAATCTAAGATAATTGATTGCAGCACATATTCTGCTTACCTTGATATATTAGGAAAAACAAATTTTCACTGTAAAACATTTTCTGACTATGTATTATGAAATAGGCAAATGG